TGGTGTGCTTGACTGGCCAGCAAACTCACCAGACCTGAACCCCATAGAGAATCTATGGGGTATTGTCAAGAGGAAAATGAGAAACAAGAGACCAAAAAATGCACATGAGCTGAAGGCCACTGTCAAAGAAACCTGGGCTTCCATACCACCTCAGCAGTGCCACAAACTGATCACCTCCATGCCACGCCGAATTGAGGCAGTAATTAAAGCAAAAGGAGCCCCTACCAAGTATTGAGTACATGTACAGTAAATGAACATACTTTCCAGAAGGCCAACAATTCACTAAAAATGTTTTTTTTTATTGGTCTTATGAAGTATTCTAATTTGTTGAGATAGTGAATTGGTGGGTTTTTGTTAAATGTGAGCCAAAATCATCACAATTAAAAGAACCAAAGACTTAAACTACTTCAGGCTGTGTGCATTGAATTGATTTAATACACGAGTTTTACAATTTGAGTTGAATTACTGAAATAAATGAACTTTTCCATGACATTCTAATTTATTGAGATGCACCTGTATGTATTTAGCTTTTCATATGCTAATTTAAGGCAGCAGTAACTTGAAACAGCAAAATTTAACAGTCTATCTTTTGCCTCACCAGGTGGAACCTGATATCTGTGAGCCTGCTGCAAATTCCCAGTTCACTCAGGCAGATGTTTTACATAAAGAAGATAAAACATGGAACAGCATGAAACCCATAAAACACACATGGATATCTCCAACCCAAGAATTACAAACACAGCCACCCTTAATCAACTCCAAATCTCCCAGGCAGCCTGTTTTAGAGCACTCACAAGTTACAAAAATGAACACAACAGAGTCTTGTATGAGCAACGTTCCCGAGAAAACATTGTGTTCCAGGCTGCCTCCAGGTGTCGATCCAGAAGTATTCAAACTCCTTCCTGAACACATTCAGATGGAGCTGATTTCCAGTTTTCAAAGTGAAGACTCTGCACAGCTCATTTACGGACCCACTGACACATCTTCTGATGTTGACCAAGCAGATCATTCCACATGGGCTTTTAACCAACCAGCACCAGAACCCTGTGAGTCAGCAATGAATTATAACAGAAATTCTGCATCTCATAACCATGAACTCAGCAAGAATTTGTCATCTGCTCAGTTCACCGTGGAATTAAATTCTGGACTCGTCAAAGTCACAGAAAGTCATGATATCCCACCTGCCTCTGAAGAACATCAATCAGATGTCCCTGCGAATGTGGACCCTTATGTATTCTCACAACTTCCTGCTGATGTGCAAAGGGAGTTACTGACAGAGTGGAGACAGCAGAAACCGGTCCTAAAAATCCCATCCAAACACTCACATAAAACCTCCAATACCAGAGACAAGAAGAGCGCTGCTAAAGGCAGCCAGTGTAACAACATACTGAAATACTTCAAACCTAACTGAGAACAGAAACACTTGATTGCCTGTTCATAAACCAGAAAAATACTAAAAATACATACGTAAACCATATCTTTGTAAATCAGCCTTTGTAGAGGAATGAAAAATGTAATTCTGTCACCATTTACTCACCTTCATGTCAAATCTGTATGACTTACTTTCTTCCACTGAACACGAAAAGGGATGCTGGGAAACAAGGTCATCCTGGTTTGGAACAATTAGGGTGAGTAAATCACGACAGAATGTTCATTTTTCTGTTAAGTTTCACTTTCAGATATGTATTATTTTGTTAATAAACCATATATGTCTTTAAATAATAATGATGTAATTTAAGTCATTGGATACTATAATTATAATAATAGTGTTTATTATAATAATAGTGTTTGTGATATTACAATACACTACATACACTACACTAATGTCTTTGAAAGAAGTCTCTTATTCTACCAAGGCTGCATTTATTTGATCAAAAATACAGTAAAAACTAATATTTGGGAACTTTAAAGACTTAAAAAAACTCATCCATTGTAAAAAAAAAAAAAAAAAAATTTTTTTTTTTAGAACAGTCTCCTTTTCTGCATTCCTTGTTTTATGAAGCTTTTAGTTTTATTGTTTAATTTAATTTATTTATCTGTACCTTTTAATCTTCAATTCTGGGTAGAAGCCTTAGCCAAAAACAGTGTTTTAAATTTTAAACCATCATTGCAAAAAATTATAAGGTACATTTTTAGACCTTTATTCTAAAAAAATGTGTACTTCCGGCGCCGATCACTACATTTCTTCACACTTTTCCCGCGCGCAGCTTCCTGCTTCATCTCCGCAGCATCTCCTTCCGGCACATCACACCTCTACATTCACTCTATGCGCCTACCGACCGCTGCCGTCCAGAATTTTCTCCATTGCACATCGTCGGTTGTCAGGTAGTCTATAAAGATGAAGGGAGCGAAATTGGCCGTGGTTTTAAGCGTGTTTTTGGCCTCCGTCCTCCTGACTGAGACAGCGCGAAGCAAGAGAGACTCCAGCAGCCAGAACAGCTTCAGGAGGGCGGCCAGCGGTTTCTACCAAACCCTCAGCAATATCTTCGGAGAGGAGAACATCAGGGCGCTGTACAAGGTCCATATAAGATCATGCGATTTTCTCATGCAGTTTAAGAATTTCGTTTTGTTTGCAAATGCATTTGCTTAGGGCCTGAAGATATCACCAGCCTGTGATCTCTTATGATCAGTGGCTGTGTCTCAAAACCATAGACTGTAGCTCAAAACCTAGCGAGTTGCCTACCTAGAGCGCATAGCCGCATATTGCTTACGGGCATCTTTCTGTTTAACTTGGTCAATACGTTCTGGATAGTGTCAGTGCTGTGATATTGTCAGATGGACCAGCTGATGTGCTACATTTTAGACTTATGTTTTATCGGTAACGCTTTATAATAACTTTAGTGAATACGTGTTTTTTTTTTTTTACAATAATATTTAATTAAAATGTAATTTTAATAATAGTAAAAAAAAACTTAGTCTATTAATTATAGGCATTAAATGGCCTTAAAAAACAATTAAAAAAAATATATTGCATTTTCATAATTTATTTACGTTATTTTAATATAAAATATATAAGAGTTTTGCTAACTGTTTAAATGTACATGAATGAGCTTTTGTACTGTAATGTATAGTGCTATTACATCTTGAGAAAAGAAAATGGAGCTTAGGCCTATTTAGCCTATTTTTGCTATAATGGAAAAGATCTCATTACTGTAAGGCAAATTAATATTGTTGTTATTAATATTGTTGTAACTTTGTGTTATAATAATATTTTTAATGTAATAAAATGAATTATCATTGAGAATAATAATAAAAAAAACATAATAATGAGAAATGGGAAGAGGGATATGCTTAATTGTCATGAAAATTGTCACAATGCAAAGTAATCTAAAATAACAATCTAAATCTGTTCTAATTTATATAGATACATTATATAGATATACAGAAACATATTTTTAAAAGTAGGGTTATTTTCTGTTTTTAGTTTGCATATAACTTTTTTGCAGTCTTCATTTATTTAAAAAAAACAACAACTTGTCAATGTTTTGCAGTTCTTCTCAAAAACTACAGAGAGGTTTGTTTATGGAGTCGATTCATTATTGGACACCTTGTGGAAACTGTGGGTGGATTTGCTTGATGTTATGGGCATTGACTGTAAGTCTGGCTCAAAATTGTTGCATTTATGTGTCAATGACTGAAATAGCACATCTCCACTGTTTGTATCTGATGCCAAAAATCATGTCCTTAAAACCTCCTTCATGTCTCTCCCTACTTTCTCTCTGCTTCTATTTCTGTCTGTCTGTGTTTTCTTTTTCCCCTCCGGTTCTCTCTCTCTCCTTAGCCTCTAACCTGACGCAGTACTTCAGCCCATCGTCCGTGTCCAGCTCTCCTGCTCGTGCTCTCCTCCTGGTGGCAGCCTTGCTGGTGGCTTACTGGTTCCTGTCCGTGTTCATGAGCGGTTTCTTTTACATCCTCCAAGTGATGTTCGGCCGTTTCTTCTGGCTGGCCCGTGTGGCCCTTTTCGCCCTCTCGTGCCTGTACATTCTGCAGAAATTCGAGGGTGACCCTGAGAAAGCGGTGCTGCCGCTGTGCTTCATCATGGCTGTGTACTTCATGACGGGACCAGTGGGAGCATACTGGCGGAAAGGGGGTGGACCTGGAACTCTGGAGGAGAAGATCGACCACCTCGATACCCAGATCCGCCTTCTAAACATCCGCTTGAGCAGAGTGATTGAAAACCTAGAGCGCTCAAGTGACCAATGAAATGATTTTTTTCGCCCCAGGCTGAGGGTGAGAGCTGGGGTTTGTGGGATGGGATGAGAAGAATTTTTTTTTTTGTTGTGCCCCTTTTTTTCCTCAGGATGTCCCAACATTTTAGTCAGGCACGAATTGTATGTGACGTATGGAAATTTGATAAATTCCCCAGTTGATATGCTGAAAAAGAGTCTATTAGATTCCCCCTGTTGTCGTAGAATTATTAGTGTCCACTTCTACTGTAGCCACCCATTTTTGAGTAAATATGGACTTTTTTGTATACTGTGGGTCTGTGTGTCTGCAAGCCTTGAGTTGAGTGTGTTAGTCCATTTCACACAGTGTTACGCCCTTTTCCATAAGCTGTGTTAGGACACTTTCTATAAGTGTGTGTTATTTATCAGTCAAAGGCAATGCAATTGAGAGTCGATTCAGAAACACTCAAAGTAGTGCTGGGCGGTATGACCAAAAATTTATAGACATACACCGATATTGCGGTATTTTAAAAATTCATATCATAACAAAAATAAACACTGGTATTCGGTATGAACCGGTATACCGCCCAGCACTAAATCAAAGTGTGAAGAATAGTCAGTATCACAGCATTTTTCATCTCTACCATGTGTCTTGAGGTCACCAGAGGTTACTCTGAGTTCAGGACCGGTCGCACTATCAGGGATAGAGATGTATGTGGAAATCGCTTTCAGAAAGCAGCTAGTCATCAGAAGTGTGAGGATATGTGACCAGTGTTCCTGGCAGCAAAATAACAGTGCTGCAATGTACACCGCTATCTCTGTCCAACTTCAGCTGGAAAAACCTGGTCATGCAACTTTGCTCTCAGCATGAGATCATTGTATGTACCATTTTAATACACTTATCGAAAGGGATTAGTTAAATAGCTTTTAGTACCACTGCGTATTAGTGCTGCTTAGTCAAATCTAGTAAACTTTTTAAGAAAGTGGCCTATGGTTTCATCCACAGTGGCATTTTGTCTATTAGAAATGCCTCCTAACTAATCTAACCTGTGTCCCATCTTCTCTGCTTGTTCTCATTCACTCTTACTATTTTTTTCTTTTTGCAGCTTTAACATTCATTCCACTTTTTGGTTTTGAATTCATCATGTTTTTGCAACCTGTGTAGCCAAAACTAATTTGTATGGTTTTTAAAATATATTTCAGACATTTATTCCCTGCTTCATAGATTTTTAAAAATACTGTAATTTAACATTTGTATACGTTTTTACATTTTGAGAGAAATATTACGAATGGGCAGTGTTAAAGTATATTTTCATTCCATAATATGCCATACTTTTTTTTTTAATGATTTTTCATGATTAGTACTACTTTTCACTACTGTTGAAAAGTTTGGAGTCCGTAAGATTTTTTTATTTTAAGGAAATCAATATTTTTATTTAGCAAAGATGTATTAAATTATATTTCAAATAATTATTTTAAGTGATATTAAGCTTGCTGTTCATTATCGAATCCTGAAAAATGTATTACGGTTTTCATAAAAATATTAAGCAGCACAACTGTTTTCAACTTTGATTATAATAAGAAATGTTGTTTGAGCACCAAATCAGAATATATGAATGATTTCTAAAGGATCACGTGATACTCAGCCATCACGTGAATAAATTACATTTTAAAATATATTAAAACAGAACTTTTGAATGGTAGTGTACATTGGAAGTATTTTTTTTTTTTTAATTAGGGAATATTTAACGTATTTGTTTTGCATCGTATTGTAAAAGGTTGTGTTTATTGTGAAATCAGTGTGTTATGGATATGTTTTTGATTTATTTGTTCATTTCTGCTACTAAATTATAAAATTGTTTGTCTCCAGCCAGTTATTTTAAAGACATCAAGTGAGAGTTTTGTGGCATTTATTCCCTGTCAGTGTTGATGCCATTCTGTACTCTTTTTAGACCTTGATGAAATTCACTTTTAGCAGATACATGTTCAAAATTTACAGTTGTTCTATTCAAGCCAAAAATATTGACGACGACATCCTGCAGTTCACTGATTTTAGTCCAGAAACTTTCCCTCATCCTTCCACCAATCACGGTTCAATTCTGTGACGTACTGTAACTCAAGCCTACTGGAAAGCAGTGTCGAGCACTATCATCAAGAAGGTCCTTTTTTACTGTATGAATGTGTGAAGGAAATTATACAATAAGCACCAGCCTCGAGGTATCTCCGAATAGCAAACTCTTGTGTACTTGCAATGTACCAGCATTATTGTACATGTACTGGGGACAACTACACGTATAGCCTACATGTCTCAGCAAACACTCCTAAATTGTCTTGTCTACTTCCATATCTGTAATGAATGAGAATCCACAGTAATATTTGATATTAGTTTTATCATTAGCTGTGGTTTCAAGTGTACACCATGCTGAGTGAATGTGCTGCGTTTGCTTGTAGAAATATGTCTGACAGATATGTTCCTACCTGCACTGTTTAGTAATTAATGTCCTTCTTGTAAGTCCTTCATTTTGTGTAATATTATGTATTTTATTAATATATCTGATGTTACATCTCTCATAGATCCCAGTTGACTGCACCAGTGCCAATCATTGTGTGTTGAGGACTTTGCGTCATTGACTGATTTGTATTAGAAAGCACTGAATCTCTGTGAAGTCGAGACCTTAACTGGTATTTTTTTGCGTAGTAAATGCCTAGATTTCTATATCAGGTTTGCATTTGTACTGTATAATTTTCATCAGGATTGTTCACCTGCATTGTTGCTTGCTGTGGTATTATTTGCACTGTCTGTAACATATTTTTGTCTTTATGAAACTTGTTCAGTGATTTTCTCTAAGATGAAACAGTGGTCCAAAAATGATTTAATAAACGTAATATACAATTTGACCAACAGGTCTTGGATGTTTTTATTTATTTTTTGATTACAGATATATTGAGAGCTCAGCCTGACTCACATTAATAGTATCGTAGTTTATATTTGCTCACGTTTTTTTTTTTTAAGTTTATGAAGTTGCTTCACCTCATAATTTGGACATAGGAGGTTGTACATGATGCAACAGTCACTTGTTTGAACATTGCTTCATCTGTCTGTTCAAATGGCCTCAGATGAACTCTAAAGCTCTAGTCAGTGTCTGGAGGGTTAAATCTGTATCTGGTCTGACACACACAGCCAACCAAATGGATGAGTTTAGCATCTTAAAGGTGCTTGTGCAGTTTGAGCAAATGTACTGTTTGCTCTGCAAAAAACTGTTTGTGAGACAATCAGTAATGCTGATGTTGATCCAACAGATCTTTGCAAAAATGAAATGAGCATTATCTTGCTGGCAGCACAACAGATGTGGTGAAAGCTTGTGATGTTAGCTGTACTTGGCAGTTGATATTTGCTATCCTCATACAGTTTAACATATTGTATACATATTGTTTCTAAAATCACCTCCATGTAGGGTTTTCCCCTCTTCTCTATTTTGTTTTCTCTATTATAAATACTCTGGAATTTTGTTTCGTTCAGCCAGCTGTATCTTTTGTATCCCTGTGAGGGCTGATCCAAATGCTGTCTTAAATGGCTTATGTAATATGTAACAAGCAAAAGGAGCACTGTGCCTTTAAGACACCCATATTTGGCTTGTATATAATGTTGTGCATTGTTGCTTTTTTATTTGTTGCGCCCAGAGGGGGCAGGCATGACCCCGTTCCCATTCCTTTTATAAAAGCACTCATATCAACTTGTGGAAAATGGGCATCCTATGACCCCTTTAACACTAACCCTTGTGGGCTCCATATCAGTCTTACTAAGACAGACAGACAGACAGAGGAGGGAAAAAACATTCCCTGTAGATCTCACATTTGTTTATGTAAATAAATAGGCATACAGTATACGTTGAATCTGTAAAGATTAGGTCAGTGAAGAGCTCAGGATGCAAATCAAGTACCAAAAAAACTGAAATTCCATTTTAGAATTGTACTTATAGTACAGTTTATTTTTAGATTCACATTTGTGCATGTTTGAATGAATGTTCGCATATTGAAGTGAAGTGGGCTTGTGTATAGAGAACAATAGAAACTGTCCAAAAAAAAAAAAGCTAAATAGTGGTTTCATGGTGATGGACATTCTTGTCATCATAGGCCAAGTAGCCTATAAAATGACTATGTAATTTGTAAATATCAGCGGCCACTGAAAAACTTGATATTGTCATTTTCCTTTTATTTATCTACTGTATTTTTCTGTTTTCTGTAAAACTGCTTTCAATGAGTACAGTAAAAAGCACTGTGCAATTCATTTGAAATAAACTGAAAACAAAAGCAGATGGGTTGCAGGTCCAGCTGTGTGTTTTGAATTTATTTTTATGAAACTTGTCTAATGGCTTCCAGAGATTTCAACTTGATTCCTTTGTTTCATCACCAAACAAGCAGCACAGATCATATAATCTTTTTCTTTTTGTTGCATCTAAATGTGAATCAGCCACGTTTACACTGCCAGTCTATGAAGCAACTGTAACTATTTCCTACATGTTATATAAATATTGATGAAATGGGCCATGAAAATAACTGCTGCTGACTCTGCAAAAACATTAAGCAGCTCTTATACAAACTTCCTCTGGTATTAAAATGTTTAGAAAACACAAATCGTCTGCATGAATTCAAACAAAATGTATGGAAAACACAGCACAGAGACACCTTTTACATGTTATCCTGTTTTTAGCCCATCCGATCATGCTGCAGGCTCGGGATTGGGCACACCTCTATATGATCCTTTTTGTACTGGGTGGGCGCTTCAGTGGGTCGAACTGGCGGAGCGGCTGCCTGACTTCTGATTGGTTCGCTTTTCCGTCTGTCCATGTTACTTTCTCTTGTGCTGCGGTCTCGGCTGATGTGAGACCAGCTTTAGGAACCAATGGAATAAAAGACATGCTAATTGCGGCGAAGGCAGATATTCTTCCGCCAAACCCTGACAGTAATGCTTTATCCAAGAAACATTAATGGCAGTGGTCAAGAGCGAGCATTATATACAGTATTCAGTGTGAACAAGATCTTATTTAACACTTTTAGAGACCCTCCAATGTTCCTTTTAATTGTTCTGAATTCTAAAATAGGAACTATACGTATATCTTATCCTTATATGTATTGTAAATGCAGTCTGAAGTTCAAAATAACTATAAAAATATTATATAAATATGTGCTCCATTGTTTTTCCCCCCATCATCCTTATTAGTTGGCGTCACTTAACCGTTTTAGTTCATGAAGTTAATAATACAGACTCCCCATCCGTAAACAAGCCGAATCTTTTCAATTTAAACTATTGAATCGGTTCACAAAAACCGTTCTGTTTGCAAATCGGCCTGACTCTGTCCGAGCGGTTCTCTAGTCACGGACTCACTGAATCGATTACAGTTTTATAACAGTTTTGGTAGCAGGGGCGAACATATGAAGAACATGTTGATTACAGTAATCTCCTTCTCAGAAATGAACTGTTCAAAAAAATCGATTGCCTGAAATAAGTCGGATTTCCT